CAGATTTGTGTGTGTGTGTGTGTGTGTGTGTGTGTGTGTGTGTGTGTGTGTGTGTGTGTGTGTGTGTGTGTGTGTGTGTGTGTGTGTGTGTGTGTGTGTGTGTGTCATTTCTTGCTGGCCTGCCCACCGCGATATCCCTTCCCCGGGGACACTCACACTGCGGTGTTCTCTCCTCTCCAAAAACCACCTGACCCTTTCCAAAAACAACATCCTCCACAGTGTTCACATTGTAATAACAGAGAAGAGAGGCCCCTCCATTCCCATAGAAAACCTGCATGTCTTCATTCATTGTATCAATACCACACTGTATTGTTGAGATTATTGCATTGTGCTACAGTATGTGTCATTGCTAAACTCCCAGTGATGATACACAGGTTATACGAATACCCAAGGTGTACCTGTGTTTATTGTTAATCAAATTATGATACCCTAGTTACATTATTGTATTGTCATTTCTGAGACATAATCCCTTCATTCTCTACATTCCTCTGTGATTGAACTGGAAGCACACTCCTCATTTCCCTTTGTCTTGTATGGATATTCCAGTATTGTTTATAAGCAAATACTGCCTCGGAATTGTGTTGTGATTTTTCTTTTTTAAAATCTTTTTTCTGATGTTCTCCTCTTTCTCGCAGGGCTTTCTCTGGCAGGCATGGTATGTAGAACAGTCTACAGAACTATGTTTATTCCAGGAGTATCCACATTTCTGGGATAATAATTACTTTTGTTTTCTTACAGAGCGTGATGCTTTCGACACCCTGTTTGACCATGCTCCGGATAAGCTGAATGTTGTCAAAAAGGTACGGAGGCTTTGCAGTGGCAATCTGGAGTCGAGTTTCCATGTTTATCGCCATTATGGCGGTCTGATGGAGGAATGGCAAATATAGCAATATAAAAATCAGGTCTTATGCTAGTCTCCTAGGAAGAGCATCCGCTTTTCTACTGGCCAAATGATAATACTACAAGTTCCAAGTCAGTTGCCATGGCATTGACTTTATTCAGCCCAAAAATACTTTTCCCCATTGATTTACATTAGGAAAGAGATATCTGTAAAAACAGTGGATAATCTTTTAGAATCCACAAAGAAAGTCTTCGAAATGATTAGATCTTAAATAATGTAGGATTCAGATTATTATTGATGAGTCATATAATTGCGTGTAATAACTGTGATTCTCGACCAAATGCAGTTGGTGTAGTTTCGCCAAATGCAGTTGAATAAATATATCAGTGATTAAGTGATTTCACAATCAAATTGAACACTGTCTGCGTTTTCACTTCTGTCCAGACTAAGGATGGGAATTTGAAAGCAAATGTATATTCGAATATTCAACCCCCCAAAAAACGGTTAACCGATTAACCGAAATGTACATATCCTATACAAAAGAAAAAAAGTGAGTGAATCTTTTTTTTTTAAATAAGTTTGAAAAATAAATAAATACATGTTCAAATAAGTATAGAAACCAAGTCGAATTTGTCAAATGTATTGAAGTGGTGATCACATTTTGAACGGTTGATAGCTATAGGCCTACAGCTTTCATGCTTAAAACATAACTTGGTTTTTAAATGAAAGAGGGATCATACACGAACAACATAACAGGTTAGGGTAACGCATCACTATTACAACAGAGATCACAACCTATAACAGGGCCTATGCACAGAATGCAGCTGTTCAATACTCATTCTTCTTTAAGAATATGAGCATGTTTACATGCTCAGGGGAGAGGCGGGTGCGGAGGCGATTCACAATCAGGCCAGCTGTAGAGAAGACAGCTGGAATGTGGGCATAAGATGAGGTTTGAGTCTGCGTTATCTGCGTGTAGGGAGAGGCAGCAGCCATATCATTAGCTAGATCTGATGGATTTGGACATAAACGCGAGTGAAGTATAACCGGACGCGCGTGCGAGAGAGAGAGAGAGAGAGAGAAGCACCTGCTGTGAGGGACCGGCGAGCAGAGCAAAACACACCTTTAGACCAAACACATTTAGCTATGGCACTGGTGTATACATTGAATTATTCCATTTGATATTATGTAATCAACTTAGGCATCCCTCCAAGGAAATATATTCATAACTCATATTCGAATACCTGAATCATTTCGAATATTCGATTAATCGTTCCCATCGCTAGTTAAGACATGTATACAATTGCAATAAAAGTAACAAATACAATGCCATCTCCTTTTCAGGTCCAAAGAACGCACATTGGGTTATTTACATAAACTATTCCAATTGCAAATACATTTTTTAACCAGGAAGGGAAGACGGACATGGATATGACCCATGTGATTTGCAACATCGCAATATATCGTATCGTAATACTTAGCATATCGTAGAATCGCAATACTATCGCATCGTGGCTTAAGTATCGCGATAGTATCGTATCGTGGGGAGCCTGGTGATTCCAACCCTCTACAGTGTAGTAATTATTAATGCCACTTCTCCTATAATAATAATAATACTAATAATAATAATAATAAATATCTAAATGATTCCTGCTGATGGGGGATAATAAACAGTGTTAGTATTTAATTTATCGTTATAATAATAATAACTAATACCCGATTCCTTTCTGCAGATCTTGGGCGACTCGGACACGTCTCTGCTGCTCAGCCTCAAACACCCTCAGCCGGTTGTCCGAGTCTCCGCTCTGACTCACCTGAAGGACGCTATCACCTACCAGGTAACCATGTTTCACTTCCTGTTAGGACACAGCTCAGACAGTTAGCATCACTGCAGACAACAAAACACAGTCTCTGGATCTATATTTACCTCTGTTTCATTGAAGATATCACATCTTCAGATCGACCCAATTTAAATGTGAAATCCTTATTTTAATTTTTTTCCCCAATAATTCTGACAAAATATTTTCAAAATGTTCTAATTCTATCTCAAAGTGATCTGACATGTTTTCCATAAAATATTTGTATCTTACCTATTACAAGTCTTTGAAATCTTCTGTCTGTCTATTTAAATACTTCTTTTTTTTAAGGTATAAATATATAATGTGTGTATATATTTAAACTTTTTTCTCGTAATACTTTTTCTTTTTTGTTGTTGTAATATATACTTTTTTTTTGCAGATATTTTGCTTTTTCTGTTAAAAATAATAACCCTTTCTTTCCCGATGTGTTTGTATTTAGCAGCAGAATCTGAATGCAGCGTTCCTCAGAGACGTTGTGATGGAGAGTCTGCAGGACGACGAGCCGACGGTCGCCGCCGCCGCCATCAAAGTCCTCGAGGTGAGGGGGGTTTATAATACATTTATATATTGATTTAATATATATAGCGCCAGAGATCTGACGTTTTTTCTGTCAAGGTGCTGCTGGATGTGTTGGAACCTGAGGACGTGGTGACCAATTTAGTGTCCCTGCTGCTCAGAAGACAACTGTCCCATGCTGAGGCCTGGTCAGTGAACTACTAACACACATATTTTTCTCAATATTTCATGTTTTTCAGATTTTTTTATTTTTTCTCATATTTTGAATTTGTTCTCATATTTGGACTTTTTTCCCGGTTTTGGACTTTTTTCTCGTATATATTGACTTTTTTCGCAGACTTTGAATTTTCTCTCAGAATGTATCTTTAACTCATAGAAAAAATTGTGTTCCAGTTAGGAGACAAGAGTTGAATAAATATTTTTCCTCTGTCCTATGAATGGTGTGTTCGCTGCCCTCTGTAAGTCTGAGCTCCTCTGCTGCAGGCTGCCGGTGCTGACGGAGGCGGTGCGTTTGCTGTCCGACCCGCGGCTGGGAAATGGGGATGCTGAGCGGCTGCAGAGGGCGGGCTGGAGGCTCCTCCCCCTCCTCGTGCTCTCCTCCCCCGCTGACCTTCCCCTCTCATCCTGCCTCACCCGCTGCCCCCTCCTCAGGACTCACCCCCTTACCCTCACCTGGGAACAAGGTAACGCTGAGGGCATTATATATATTGAATTTGTTCAGTTATCTCATTTCAGGATTATATAACAATAAGAGATCTGTTTTTGTTTCCGGTCAGAGCTGGAGGCGCTGATGAAAACGAGATCTGAACCAGACTTCCTGGTTACTGTTAATGAGCGCCTTGTCTCCACGATGACCAAAAACATCTCCGACATGGAGAAGCTCTGCAGAAAAGATGCTGTGAGTTCATAACCTAGCAGAAACCTGCAGAAACCCGAAGTCTCAGCGTCTGTTTTAACTTTAAATGTCACATTTTGAGACATTTTTCATTATTTGTATTATATATATTACAACTATTCTACAGACATTTTTAGCAAATATTATTTTTAACAATATATAATATTATTATTTTTTTAAATAATGTAATGTTACTTTTTACTGCCTTTTTCAATTTCAAATATTTTAGTTCAGTATTCTAAAAATATAGGCACAATATGTGAAAAATAAGTCGATGGCGGAAAATAAAAGTGAAAAATTATTTAGATTATCTGAAATATATATATATATAAGTGAAAAATACCCTTTTAAATAGATAAGAAATATCCCCAAACATGTTTTCAAACTGTAACGGAACAATTATTGGCATCTGAAAAATATCCCAAAATTAGGTTAAATATTTTCTAAATAAACTGAAAAATTACCGACAGTATAGTAGTAGTAATAGTAATTGTCCCCGAGAAGAAAATGGGTTGCAGCACATCACAAAGGCATTTAAAAAGATAAATGTATGTTTGAAATATACCATTTTAAATATAGAAAAATAATAAAAATTTGGAAATTCAATGTGAAAAAATGACTGAGATCATGTGAAAAATAAGCAAAACATATTCACTTTTAAGATATTAAAAAAATATATCAAAAAGTTATTAGTTAATACTAGGGGTGTAACGGTACACATACCCGTACCGAAATTATTCGGTACGGGCCCTTCGGTTCGGTACACGTGTGTACCGAAGTCTACCGAACGAATATAACGTTAAACTTAAAAAATTGAGAACATGAACAACTTTTTGGAAGTAATCTCAGGTGCTGCGTCGCAGCATTCAGAGTAATTTGCTCACATTGGGTTCAACGTGTCATAGAGCGACCAAGTCATTTCATTGGACGAGAGGCATACTATGAGAGCTGGTCACAGGGATGCGTTCAAATGTACAAGGATGACGGACAAAGACGGGTGGACCGAACCAAAGCTGTTTGTCGGCATTGTTCAACTAAAATTGGTTACGCGGCTGGTAATACATCAAACTTGCACAGTCATTTGAAAAGGCATCACCTGAACGTGAATATCACCGGTACCAAAAGAAAAAAGACTGAAGTGCAAACCCAACTCCCACTAGCATTTAAGCCTCCACCACTCTCAAAAAGTTCAGACCGAGCCAAAGCTATTACAAACGGCAAATATCCTTATGTTGCCATGTTAGCAAAGCGCTACCTGGCTGTATCTGCTACCTCGGTCCCTAGCGAGAGGGTGTTTTCCACAGCAGGAGACATTGTTAGTGCCAG